CAGCCCCCCCCCCCCCGCCTTTCTGCCTCTCCCCCCCTCCCCCCCCGCACTCCGCAGCCATCGATCCCAGGAGGCGTGCCTGTCGCCAGGTCCTCTGCCCCGTCCCCCAGCACCCAACGACGCTATGGCTGGCCCCCTGCCGAGCGGGCCGGGCTTTCCATGGAGGCCGTCTGCGGGGGCGATGGGTGGCGACCGCCGCGTGGCCGGGGCTCTTAGGTCGAGTCGAGCGCGCGCCGTCATGAACGCTCTGCTGGACGCCCTGGTGCCGGCTTTTCCCCGCGATAGGGGCATAGGACCGCGCGGAGATCCTGTTGCCGACGCTCTTGTTCAATTCAGTTGGAAGCAGCTCCAGGACGATGCTCACAGACTCATGTCCCAGGCCGGGAACGGAGAGCGCCCTCCACCTTCGCAGGCTCTGCCGGGTCTACTCGTGGCCCTGAGATGGGCGTCGGGGGCACCCAACCAGAGCTTCGCGCAGGGGGCTTGACAATGTAGGCAGGGATCGCGCCTGGCTCGCCGACAGAGCTGTGGATGGGCGCGGGCTCCCCGAGGACTATGGGGTGCTCGTCTATTGATGGCTTCAGGGCGCGGTGGAACGTATTTATGGACAGCACGGTGGGCATCATAGCCGCGTTCCGCGAGCTCGACCTCGTCGTGCCGGGGCTGCCTGGGGCCCGCCTTGCTGAGGGAATCGCCATCCCGGGGCGCGCGTGCATCGGCATCGAAGCGAGAGGAGGTCACTCGTGCGCCAGCGTCGCGGTGATCTGGGACAGAATTCGACTCCCGTCAGCGAGCAAGATCGTAAAGGTGGGCTCCTGTCGCCGTCTCTGGCTGCGAGCGGAGGATGCGCAGGGCCAGGAGCGGTTCACATGTACGGTTCATCTTCCCCCAGTGCCCAGACCAGGGCCAAACAAGAAGTGGTTCCTCGGGATGGACGGGCTACGCGCGGACGTGGAGAAGCTTCAAGGCCCGGCCCCGCTGGGAGTCGGCGCCCACGCGATCGCCATGGGGGCGCCGACGTGCGGCCAGACGAGTTACTCGGAGCGCGAGAGCCCTCGCGTGCTCGACCCCGCCGCTGGACACGCCTGGTCCCCCCGTGGGGGCTGTCCCACCTCAATCCCTCGTCGGGGCAAGGCCCCGCGGCCCGCGTTGGCCCCCCCCTCCGGTGCCGCAGCCTCGCACTCCGCCCGGGCGACGCCCATCGCGGGGGGGGGGCGACGCGCGCTGCATTAACGTCGTCATCCGATGACGGCGCCGTGGGCCGCTCGGGAGGCGATGGCGGCCATCGCCCCCCGAGCGGCCCACGGCGCCGCGCGAGCCCACAATGGGCTATCCTGCCGTGGCGGGGGCGGCTGCAGCTGGGACTACTGCGTCGAGTACGCGCACGGAGACCATTTCCTGATCGACTTTACCGTCCCCTTTTCGGCCCCCCCCTGCCTCCCTCGGGCAAGGAGCCATCCGCATGCCGCGCTGGTGGAACATGGTGGACTCCTGGGCCGACGGACTGACGGGGGCCCGCCCAGCTCTGCAATCGCATGCGGACATCCTGCGGCATTACTGCGGCGACGGGGAGGCAGCCGCAAGCTCGCGCGCGTTGGGCGCGAGCGCGGTGCAGTGGTTAGGAGATGCTGCTGCATGGCTGCTGCAACTCGTTCTTGGCATGGCACTTGCGGGCTGGGTGGTCCCGAAGGGTTCCCCTCGCCCCCCGGGGCGTGCAGGGGCTCCTGCGCTGCGAGGCAGGGTGAGGTCGGCCATAGAAGGGCCAGGAACTGCGCAGGGGCCCCAGCCCGCGGCCCTCCTGAAAGGGGGAACGCAGGCGAGATCTTGACAATCGAAGCCTCGCGAAAGGCGTGGTGCCAGCAATTGGAGGAACAGTCGCGCTGGCCTGGCACCTGAGATCCAGCCTTCCGCGCCCGCGTCTTGGGGGCGCTGCCGGCGATGCGGGGGCGGGCGCGGGCCGGCCGTGGCAGGGGGCCCCGCGATGCGCACGTGGAGCAGGTCGAAGTCGAGGCGGCCTCAAGGCCCCTATGGGCCGCGCGGGGGCCACTGCGCCAGACCTGGCGCCGCGCAGGGCCTCGCAGTCGGGTCGCAGGCATCTTCTGGCCGCCCCGGCTGGCCCTGCGCCTGGCGGGCCCTGGGCGCCTCGCTGCGCGACGCGCTGCCTGGCGGGGCAGCTGCGCAATCCCCCTGCACAGGGATGGGCCGCTGGACGTCGGGTGGTCCTTCCGGCTCGTTATGGTAAAATCGCAGATGGGTTTGTTGCGAGAGATGCTCGTCCACGGGAGGCTGGTCGCACAGCTGCGCGCGTCCACCTTTCCAGGACAGAGCGGGCGCTGCCGCGACGTCGGCGACGCACGCCTCGCTCTACGCGAGCTTGCAGCAGAGGCGGCGCACTCCGAGCGGCCCTTGTGGGCAGTCGTCGGAGACCTTCAGACGGCCTTCCCGCGCACCTGGCGGGAGGCGCTCCTTTTGCGGCTGCGCGAGACGGCAGGCGTGCGCGACGGTATGCTGTCGCTCCTGGGCAGCATGTCCGCGTCAGACAGCATCCATGCGAATTTTAATGGAGTGGCCACGGTGGTCATACACCAGGGGATTGCAGAAGAAGGACGGTGGGGCCGCTCGCGCTTCCCGTCGACATGGGCCCCCTCACGGAGGCGCTGCGCCGCGCGGGCGTCGGCGCGGGGGTCGGCGCCCACGCCCCGCGTCTCTGGGCGGGGCGCCGCTGGCAAGGGGCGGGCGCGCCCGATTCCCGACACCGCGCGCGCGCTGACTCGCGCGCCATGGGATGGGGCGCCGCTTCCCGCGGCCGCCGATCTCGCCAGCGACCCGGCGCTGGGCGCCTCAGCGTCGCCGCGCCTGGCGGCCGCCCTGCGCGCCGACGATCCTGTCCTGCTGTCCCCCACCAGGGGGGGAGCGCAAATTACTCAGAACGCGTTAGCGAAATTGGCCTTCACCTACAAAGCCTCCCCACATACCGAGCCCTTTAAACGCGCAGTGGTTGTTTATGGCTCATCTATTGCCAGGGGGGCGGGGGCTGCGCCGAACCCCTCACCCTGCCTCTCAAGGGGAGAATTCCTGTCATGTTGGGCTTCAAAGGCGCGCACGAGTGGCTTGGACTGATGCGGCCAGGAGACCTCGACCTAGAGCGGATCATTGACGCACGGTTGAGCGCAGCATCTGCGCAGCGTGCATCTCTGGTGGGGCACGTCACCGCGGGGGTCGTGCCGCTCGCCGTCGCTGCCCACATCTTCGAGTCCAAAGTCGAGGGCGCGCCCAGGTTTGGCCGCTGGCTCTGGGCGGTGGGCGAGGCGGCGCCAGGCAAGCTGCGGCGAGACTACACTGCCTGGGCGCGCGCTCTCCTGGGCGCCCAGCCATGGCGTCAATCGGAATTGGCCCTCTCGGAGCTGGGATGGTCGATCTCCGGGCCCGCTAGAACTGTGTACGAGGTTGCCTCCCGGCGCGCAGGCCTCTGGAGGCTTCGGGGGGACGACCTCTACAGGCGCATTTTCCTGCGAGCACATGAATCGGGGGGGCGATCCTGGGCGCAGCCTTCGCTTGCTCTCCTCGATCACTGGTCCATTCCTGACTGGCATGCATGCATGGGAGGCCGCTCGCAGCGGACAGTCCTTGCGCCAGTGCAAGAAATTCGCACGAGCTCACTTGTCGGAGTGCTGCGAGGTGGAGCTGAGGCAGGCGGTGTGCCTCCACGCGAGGCCGCTCCCGGTCCTCAGTCTCGGGCCGGCCCCCAGGCCAGATCTCGCGCGGGCCCTGAAACAAGAGCTTGTTTCTGATGTTATACTGGGCCAGCGCTCGCTGAGCAGGCTACGAGGGCGGCTTGTGGCCCTCAGCCGCTCTTCTGGCAGCGTTTCTACGGCGCGGAGGCAGTCCTGCGTCCTGTGCGGCATGCAGACCCTGAGCCCCGCGTTCCATATCCTCGGGCTGTGCTCTCGCACGGAACTCCCCCGGCGCACTTTCTGGGAGGCCCAAGACCTGACGGATGCCGGGCAGGCGCAGGCGGCCCTGCTGGCGCTTTACATCGAGAGGGAGGCGGATCGTTTCTGGGCGGCCGCAGGGAACAGTTCACACCCGCCCTCGCTCCCTCCCGCCTAGGTTCCCAGGAAGGTGGGTCGGGTCGGGAAGGGTCCTCTCTCCCTCTTCTCTCCTCCTCTCCCTTGGGGTAGTTTCCTCTCCCCCTTCCCGTCGCCGTCCCGCACCTGCGTCGTGCGTCGACATGGCAGCGTCGGAGGGATCGGACGACCCCTGGGCAGGATCCCCTCTGCCCGGCCCCCCCCCGCCCTGCGGGGAGTCCCCGAGTTGCCTCTCCCGCTTCGCGCCTGGCCATGGGGTGGAGAGTCGGAGTCTGTCGGGGCGCGTTTCTTCGGCGGGGGTTTTGGTTCTCTGGCCTGTTTCTCTTGGAGCCTGCCTGTGGGCCCTTCGGCTGCGGGGCCCGAGGCTCCTTGTGTCTCTGGATTCCGTCTCCGCCGTCGGAGCTCCGACAGCTCCCCTCTCGTCCCCTCCAGCGCTGGTGGCTTGGCTTCCAGGGCCGTCGCAGCACCGACGCTTCCGAGCACCCCCCAGGCCGTGGCGCCATGCTGAAAGGGAGCTGCGTCCGTGGCTCCCGAGTGCTGGCTCAATGGGAGCACCACCAACCAACCAACCCCTCCTCCCCCTCCTCCCCCATCCTCTCCTTTTTCCCCCTCCTCCCTCTCCTCCCGCTCCTCCCTCCTCTGCTCCCCTCCACGGGGTGCGGACTTCTGTGTTCTTGCGGGCTCGTGGCCCTGCTGGGGGCGAGCGCCCGCGCGTTGCGTGGACGCGGTGCGAGGCTAGGCCACATAGGCCGTGCCTGGGGTTTTGTATACTCAGCTTTCAGCATTCAACCTCCTCCTCCTCCTCCTCCTCCTTTTTCTTTTTCTTTTTCTGGGGAAACCAACGGTGCTGATACGGTTACTCCCCGGACCTCTCCCTGGGTGCGTTCTGACCAGAATTTCGAGGCGAATCCAGCGGTAGCGACGAGGGACTCCCAGGAAGTCCAAGAATGGGAAAACGGGCGGAGGGTAGCGGTATGGGTACATTTTTCTCCTCCTCCTTCTCCTCCTCGTCCTCCTCCTCCCCCTCCTCCCTTCCACCTGCTGCTGCTGCCCCGACGACGGCGACGGCAGCGAAGCGAGTCTCCGTCCAGCCCTGCACGTTGCGCCCCAGGGGGCACAACTCCGGCTCGAGCAGCCGGAGGTCGCCGAACTGCCGGAAGCGCTTGGTGGACGGGTGTGTGCCACCCCACCTCGAGGGGACAGATCGGCGGCGAGCGCGGGGGGGAACGGAGAATTAGAAGGCCTTCTCAGAAGGCGGTGGGGCTTCTCAGGAGCCCTGCCGCCTTCTGAGATATGTTTTGCGTCGTCGGGGAAGGCTCAGAAATTTCTCAGAAGGCCAGGGGGACTTCCGAGCCTTCCGAGAAGGCCCGCCCCTTCTCACTTCCTCCCTCGCTCGCCGCCGCCGTATTGCGCTTCATCAAGCAACTCTGTGCCAGCCAGTCCTACTGCCAGCGAAAGGGTACGAACTCTAGCTCGAGTCCATACTAAGAGGAAGCTTCTACCGTCTCGTACTACGTGGCAGGAGAGGGGGGGAGTGCCATGGGGGATGTGAGTGTCGATTGGGCGTGACAGGAGGACAGCAAGCAACGTGTGCCCGCGCCACATCTGACAGCCTGCCCCTCCCACCCGACCCCTTCCCATTGCGATGACCTTTCCCTTTTTACCCTTGACCCAACCTTGCTGCGACGTTTTCCGAGCTGGATCGATCTGTGATGGCCCCCTGGCCCGAAACTGTGCGAGCACGCCTCGTGTGAAACAACTTGCAGCGACCAGATCTCAGGAAAGGCTAGGGAACACGATAGGGGGGAGGGTGAGGGCAGGACGGCGAGCTAGTTGCGCTCACGCCATACCTGACATCATACCCATGCCGCCCATCCCTCCCCTCCAAAGGCCCTCATCGTCTTTTGCACAAGCAGGAAAAACGGGGGCTGCGGACATTGGGGCGGTTTCCGAAAAAACTGGATCCCAACAGGTTGGCATCTCATTGTGGGAAAGACACATCTCTTGTTGGGGGGACGGGTTGGGAAGATACAGGGCACGACTGCGTAACGAGCCCATTCAGCATACGCTTTTCTACAGATGATCTGATCACTTCTCCCGACCCCATCTTCCTAACGCGAGAACTGTCTCTCTGATCTCAGGAGGGCGACTTCTACTTCCGCCTGCTTCCACTGGCCTGCGCCGGAGGAGCCGCCCTCGCATCACTCCCGCCACCCTCCGCCGAGGAAGAGACGCCAACTTCGTCGGTCCTCGAAGGCGAGGCCCTTTCGGAACCCGCCGTTGAAGGGGAAGGTGGCCGATGATAGGGCGACGACATCTGTACATATCCACTGCTCCCTGGCGAGGCCCATCCTGAACCCAGCAGCTGTGTATACGCTGCGCCCTCCTGGCGTGGCCAGGAGGGCGTATGCACAACTCCTGGGTTCAGGATGGGCCTGGCCAGGGAGCAATGGATATGTATAGATTTCGTCGCCCGAGATGAGCGGAGGGGCGGGGCGGGGGGGGTGGGGTGGGGTGGGGTGGGGGCGAGTGCCATGGGGGTGGGGAAGGACGGCGGGGCGTGGCAGTGAAAGAGAGAGACGGCGGCCCCGTCCCCCCCCGCCACTCTCGGACGCACGCCGTCCGAGGCGCAGCGGCAGCAGCAGCCCCATCGGGGGGCGTTGTTCAATGAGAAGCCCCGCTGGTGAGATTGCGGGGGGGGGCCCTGCGAGAACGACCTGTTTGTCGCCCCACCTGGGCTTCCATCACCAAGGCAGGGGCTGGCGACAGGGCCACCCCCAAAGAAAAGGCAGAGCGGACTCCGCCTCCTCCTTCTCCTCCTCCTCCTGCTCCTCCTCCTCCTCCTGCTCCCTCCTCCTCCTCGCTTTCTGATTCTTGTCGTTCTCCCACCTCCCTCCTGACCGCGCCGGCGCCCCTGGCCTGTGGATGTCGGCCTGGAAGCTGCCGAGTGTTGCAGCGGACTCGTCGCCCTTGGTCTGCGAGGACAGCATGGCCAGCATCTGGAAGGTGGGCCTGATTCCCCCTCCCGCTCCTCCCCCCTTTTCCCCCCTCCCGCACCTCCCCTCCGACTCCTCTCCCCTCTTCAAGCCCGCCTTCTCCCCCTCCCCCCCCCCCTCCTCTCCGTCCGTCGTCAGCGCCGCCGCCGCCGCGCCCAGCACCTGCGCCGTGACCCTGGGCGCCCTCTGGCCCGAGGGTCGGCGCCCCGCGCAGGAGTTGCCGGCCCTCGCGGCCCTCGCGGATCCGGCGCGCCACGCGGGCCCGCGCGGGCTGGCCCGCGGCGTCCTCCGCCGACTGCGCCCCCGCGCAGTGCACCGCCCGCTCCCATTGCACGCGCTGCGGGTTAGCGCGGGCAGCGACGATCCCCGCCGGCCGCTTGCAGTGCACCTCCAGCGCCATCAGCGGCGCGCCCAACTCAGCTGGTCGTAGCAACCCGCGAAGCACAAGCCTCGCGGATGCAGCGCAGCTCGTGGGCCACACGGTCCGTGGGGGCAATCCCCTTTTCGCGCGGGTACTACCGCAGCCACAGCCGCGAATCTCCGCCCGCCCTCAGCACATTCTCACAGGTGGCGAGCGCGATGGGCGGGGTGCCCGATGACCGGTCGCTGAACTCCTCCTGAGAGCTCTCCTGCACCGCCTCGCGCCGAGCTTTGAAGCGCTCGCCCTGACCGTCGAAGTCGACCGCGATCACCCTGATGTCCTCGCTCTGGATCGGCTCCGCCGCGGCCTCCCGCGCAGGGGGGGGAGCGGGCGGCGGCGGCGGCCGCGGGCGCCCCGGGCGCTCGCGGAGGTCCGCGCCCCCCGGGCTACCCAACGCGCTCCGCAGATAGCTCGCACGCTGATCTGCATCGCTCGGGATCTCCTCCACCTGCGTCTGCTGCGGCCGAACCGCAGCGCCGTCCGCCGCCGCGAAGGCGCCCAGCTCGTCCGCGAACAACACCCGCGCACGGCGCTAGCCCACCTCGCTCCCGATGGAAGCCGCTTCCGTGGGCTCCGCCCAGACCCTGGCGCGCCCAAAGCGCCGCGAATGCCCGGCCGCCTCGGAGAGGGCGGCGAGCGGGGTCGCAGTCCCTCCCGCCGGGGGAGCGCCCCCCGAGGCGGCCCCGTCTCCAGCGCCCGGGCCGCTTGCCCCGCAGCCGACGGGGCGGGAAGGCCCCGCCGAAGAACAACGAGATGCGCATCCGCTCGCCGCATGGCTCCCGCACCTTCAGCGGCTCCAGGACGCGCCGTCCTACCCGCACCTCCTCCTGACAGGCTCGGCGGCCCCGCAGGATGCCCTCGCGCAGCCCGACTGGGCCGATCCGCGCCGCGAAGCGGTAAAGCTCGCGGCGCCGTCGGCCGGGGGGCCGACTCCCGTCCTCGGGCAGCGGGTGCCGCGCCGTCGGCCCGTCCTCGGGGTCCTGGCAGGCCAAATCCTGTAAATACTCATCTCCGTCAGGCGTGCGAATCCCCCAGTCGCCCCCGCCCAGGGGGTAGAGAAGCAACCTCTCGTGGTCGACGTCGTCGCCGTCATACCTCATGCCCACGACCTGGCCAGGCACGTCGTCACTGTACCACTCCTCTTCCCCGCCGAAGGGGAGCAACGCCTTTCGCCCCGAGGCCCGCAGCTTCGCGCCTGCGGTCACGACGACGTCCGCTCGTGTAGCCGAGCACGCTGGTCAGCACCGACGGCCCGAACACCAGCAGCAACTGGTCGCCCAGGACGACCTCCCCGCCTCCCGCACAAGTGCAGGCGGGGCAGGTCGGGCAAGGGGCTGGCGGCCGGCAAATCCCAACGAGCCATTCGGGTGGTCCAGAAGGGCACCAGCCTTCCGCCTGCGGCGGAGGGTCGGGGCCAGGCGGGCCCGCAGGCGCCAAGGGCCGCTCCGCCGCGCGCCAGCCCGCCAGGAACGGCCCCAACGCGAGGACCGCGATCGATGACCTGGGCGCGCTTGCGCCCGGGATCATCGGCGCCTCCCCAACGGACAGGAGGCTTGAACATAGATTATGGCATCAAGAAACATCAACCGCACTAGCGCCCCCCACCTTCCCGCGCAAGCACGCACATGTTTTCCAGGTCGGGAGTCTTGTGTGCTCCCAACAAGCCCGCCGACCCTTTGTGGGTCTCTAGGCGAGTGAGATTGCTCCCCCCCATAGCGCCCCCCAGGGACGCCAAAACGCGAGTTTGGCCCCCCCCCGGGCCCGGGACGACCCCCGGTTGAACGCGCTACGTGGGAACGGAAGGCCTCACAGCGGGCCAACAGGGCCCCAAGGGGCCCCCAAGACGACCCAAGAGGGCTCCGAAACGCCGAAAGATCGCGCCAAGACGCCCAAGAGGGCATCCAAACGGCCCACGATGCCGCCAAGACGCTGCCAAAGGCCTCCAAGAGGCCTCCCTAAAAGAGGGCCACAATGATCAACAATCTTCCGCTTCTTCAGAGAAGCGTACGATCATAGCACATTCGTCTGTTTGGTTTTCACAACGACCACGATGGCCCAAAAGGCCTCCAAAGTGTCCCCAAAACGGCCCAAGCGGCCCCCAACAGGGCTCCAAGACAGCCCAAGAGGGCCCCAAAACGGCACAAGAAGCCTCCAATACGGCCCAGGAGGGCCCCAAAACGGGCCTAAAAGGGGGAACCCGAACGGACATTTCGAGCCTTCCGCCCCAAAACACCCCCAGGGCGCCCCAAGAACCCCCCAAGGGAACTCCGAGAGGGCTCCCAAAAAAACCCACGATGAGGCCCTCAACAAATCAAACAACTGCATGCCTCCAGGACGCCCCCGAAACGCCTCCCAGGAAACCCATCAACCATCCGATTGGCCTCCGCCCCGCAACCCAAACACGGTGGCGGGATGCCTCCAAGCCCCCCACCGCACAACTTCCGACAAGACCTCAGCAACTATCCCACTGGCCTCATACCCACAAGCCAGGCACGGTGGCGGGATGGACCGAACGCCATTCGATGATCATGCGCCCACGGCGAACACATCTATCCAACTGGCCTCAGACCCAAAAGCTAGGCGCGGTGGCGGGATGGACCGAAAGCCATTCGATAATCATGCGTCCACGGCGAACACTGCGCATGCCGGCCGCGGCAAATACAATGATCTCAAAGAGTTTCCGTCTGGACTCTGACACTGCCCACTCCTTTCGTCCCCCGAAGGCGCCCCGAAGAAACCTCACGAACCATCCCCGAAATTCTGACGCACAACCAAGCCGGGATGGACCGAAGACTATGAAAGACTTCGCGGTCATGAAACCTGCGCAAAATCTCCAGATCCAGAGTGCTCACATTCCCTCTGGAAGCACCAATTAGGGATTTACCTTTGTTTCGTCAGAATGTAATCTCATCGGTTTTGGTTCATCCGTTTAATTTCATTAATGTAAATTCACCCTTTGAATTTTATCCGATTAAATTCATCCGGTTTTGCTGCATCTGGTTGACATTCGCCCGGGTTTAAATTCATCCGGTGTTTATTCCCCCTGTTTAAAATCATCTGGTTTTAATCCGTCCGGCCTAACTTGATCCGATTTGAATTTCCTCTGTGTGCCTCTGTGTGGCTCGCGTTGTCTATAGATCATTCAAACCTATCCCAATCAAACTCGTCCATACTTAATTCGTCCAATTAAGATTCGCCCTAGAGCTGTTTAAATTCATCTGGTTTTAATTCGCATGCGGTTTTTATTCGCATGCGGTTTTTATTCGCCCGGTTTAAACGCACCCAATTGTATTTCGTCCGGTTTACATTCATCTGGTTTATTTCGTCCAACTTAATTCATCCGGTTTTATCAGGGAGCACTAAACGGGGTAACGCCTAAACGGGGTAACAGACCCACCATGGGATCCATGTGGAAAAAAACTGCAACGACCAGAACAGAAAACTGCAGTGCATTTTTCTGCAACGCAAATAAAACTGCGCTGCAATTTGCTGGCAAGTAGTTGCGGACAAAAACTGCAAACAATCCCCACAAACCGGGTAACGGAGGGCCCCAAACAAAAAGTTGCAGTGCAACACCCGGAAATGTGCAACGCAGCCCGCATGTTGAAGGTACTGCATCGAACGCGAAAGCAAAAAATGCACTGCAACAAAAAGGCCATTTGATGCCTCGAACCGGCCGTTTCCTGTTACCCCGTCTGCTGTCACCCCGTCTCTGGTTCCCTGATTTTAATTCGCCCGGTTTACGTTCATCCGGTTTACATTCGTCCGTTATAAATCCATCCTGTTTTCGCAATTCGTCCCATTGAGTATGATCCGGTTTGAATGCGCCTTGTTTGAATTCGTCCTATTTTGAATCGGGCGTGCATCGCCCATGCATCGTGTGTGCATCGGCGATGCGTCGGCGATTCGCTGCGATCCTCCGACCCCATCAGCGAAAACCCCATGTGGGATGCCCAACATCTGAAAAACAAATAAACAGAAAGGGATCTTCCCAGCGGCGCAGAAATTCTGTATTTGTGTATGCGTCTTCTTATCAAATGTCTGAAGCCTTCAGACGCTTCCTCGAAGCAGAGGTGACAAACTATTCTGGATGAAGCAAAAAACATGAAGGCCTCAAGGGCCCAAAAGTGGCGAACGTTACAAGGTTCGGATGACCCGCTCGGATTAAAAACATGCGCGGCGAACCAAATAGGGAGGGGGCTCCCACCTGATACTTCTTCGCAATTCACTCACAAACGAAGCTCTGTTGACGATGGTTTTGTGATAGTGCTGATGATGCTGAGTGATGAATAGTAATTCTGAGTGGTGGGTGAGTGAGTATTTTGAATAATGGCTGTGTGCGATTGTGTAAGTGGTGCTGATGCGGTGATACTGATGATGTGAGTATGTGAGTGTGTGAGTGAGAAGCGAGGGGGTGTTCCTGTTCCTGCGCGGGGTGTCCAGAAAAAAACCACCTTGGATGTGGAGGAAATACATCCACACAGAATCGATCCCTGGACCACTTTCATCGGCGCTGGACCCTTCCAGCGGCGCCGTATGGTTTTTCTTATATATATGTGTATGAATGTATACACGTATAACACGGATATGTATATACATATATATACACACACTAAAACCACGCGCGCCCCACGCGCGCGATTAGGTTCTGGCCGCGGATGAACCACTGATGCCACTGTCAGCCCCGCTGTGGCCACAACGACGATTTCCAGCGTTCTCGGGCCCATGCCATCGACGCAGAGAAACGCGTAGTCAGAACGCGGGGCGCCACGTTCCCGCGCATCTCACAAGCTCGCTGTCACCTTTGTTTGGTATTTCAAATGTTTTTTCCCCCACTTTCACTTCCGCTCTGCCCCGTTGTGAAACTCAATGCTTTTGAACATCCGCTGAATCACCCAATGCCCGATCACGCAGACATCCGCCCGCTACTGATGTTGGGATTCAATCGGGGCCTCGTTGCGCGCGCGTGGGAGCGCGTTGCTGTTTTTTTTCCTCGGCTTCTTTTGCTCAAGGCTTCTCGTTGTCAGCGGTCGCTCAGCTGCAGGGTGACTGCAGAGGGCGCGCGCAGATGTCCCGGTCATCGGTGCTCTTTTCTGCAATCGATTGTTGTTGAATCCGCCCACGGGAGTGGGGAAGCTTCTGTGCTCGCCGCCAAGCCTCATGCCAACGATGATCGCATCCGTGGGAGCAGAAGGTTCGGGCTCACGGGTGGTGCTCACCGATTTGCCTGGTAAGTTCCATGTTTGGGGCTGCCTGGAGCTCTGACGGGGCCTCTGGCGGTACCTCCTTGGCGCTCTGGCGAAGCTTTTCAGGAGGTGAGGGAAGGGCATGAAACCGGAGAAATTGTTGAGTATAGCCACACCCCGCTCGCTCGGGCAGGCCCGCCCTGCAAGGGTGGGAGGGGCAATAATCGCGTGAAAGAGTATGGTGTCGGGATGTCCTGCTCTCTCTGGCGGGGGGGTCCTTGCCGCTCTGGCGGGGCTTGCCCAGCAGGGGAGGGGGGAGCGCGACACTCCAGGCAAATTATGGTATATCCACACCCCGTGCGCTCTGACGGGGCTACCTCGGGTGCGGTGGGAGGAGCAAGACAAAACAGGGACTGTATATGGTAACTCTAGCAACACTCCTCTCGCTCTGCCGGGGCCGCCCTTGAGGGGTGGGAGAGGCATAACAATTTGTGAAATTATTGGGTATAGCGATGCCCCGCTCGCTCTGGCGGGGACCGTCTGGCGCTTTTGTGGGGCCGTCCCAGGAGAGGAGGGAGGAGCACGAAAGCTGAGGGGTGAGGGGAGGAAGAGGAGAGAGGAGGGAATGGAGGCAAAGGGAGGGGGCGGGAGGGAAGGATGGACGGAGGGGGTAGGCCCGGGCCATCTAGGCCGTCTTCGCGCGCCCTGGGGCCTCCCGCTCCCGCTCTGTGGCCCATTTTGGGCCTGTCCTGGGGCCTCTTGGGCCGTCTGGGGCTCCTCGTGGGCAATTTGCAGGCTCTCTGGGAAAGTCTTGAGGCTCTTTTGGGGGCGTCTTCGGCGGTGTTTGGGCGGTCTTGGGGGCGTCTTCGGCCGTCTTCGAGCATTGAAGTTCGAGAACGCGAGAAAGCGAAACACATAGAGAAAAACATTGCAAATCAATGATTTGGCCCTCTTTGGGCTCTCTCGCGGGACGTCTCTCGGAGCTCTCTTAGGGCCTCTTGGAAGCCTCTTGGGCTGGGTGTGTTGCCGTGTTGAGCTCCTCTTGGGCCACGTTGGGGCCATCTGGACCGTCTTGGAGCGCCTTGGGGCCTCCCGCTCCCGCTCTGTGGCCCAGCTTGGGCCTGTCCTGGGGCTCTCTCGGGCCGTCTGAATCTCCTCCTGGGCGATTTTCCGGCTCCCTAGGGTCGTCTTTGGACTCTTTTGGGGGCCTCTTCGGCGGTCTTGGGACGATCTTCGGGGCGTCTTCGACCGTCTAGCGTTGGAAGCTGGAGAACGCGAGAAAGCGAACAACATGGAACAAAACTACCAGAAATCAATGATTTGGCCCTCTTTGGGCTTTCCCGGGACTTCTGTCGGAGCTCTCTTGGGGCCTCTTGGAGTCCTCTTGGGCTGTGTATTGGCCGTGTTGGGTCCATCTGGAGCCACGTTGGGGCCATCTGGACCGTCTTGGAGCGCCTCGGGCAATTTTCCGGCTCCCTAGGGTCGTCTTGGGGCTCTTTTGGGGACCTCTTCGGCGGTCTTGGGACGATCTTCGGGGCGTCTTCGACCGTCTAGCGTTGAAGCTGGAGAACGCGAGAAAGCGAACAACACCAGAAATCAATGATTTGGCCCCCTTTGGGCTTTCCCGGGACGTCTCTCGGAGCTCTCTTGGGGCCTCTTGGAGTCCTCTTGGACTGTATATTGGCCGTGTTGGGCCCATCTGGGGCCACGTTGGGGCCATCTGGACCGTCTTGGAGCGCCTTGGGGCCTCCAGCTCCTGCTGTGTGGCCCAGCTCGGGCCTGTCCTGGGGCTCTCTTGGGTCGTCTGAAGCTCCTCCTGGGCAATTTTCCGGCTCCCTGGGGTCGTCTTAGGGCTCTTTTGGGGGCCTCTTCGGCGGTCTTGGGGCGGTCTTGGGAGCGGCGTCGGCCGTCTTGGAGCGTCGGAAGATCGAAAACGCGAGAATTCGAAAAACACAAACAACAAAAAAACAATGAAAATCAAGGATTTGGCCCTCTCTCGGGACGCCTCCCAGAGCTCTCTTGAGGCCTCTTAGAGGCCTCCTGGGCTGTGCATTTGCGGTCTGGAGCCCATCGTGGGCCGTGTTGGGGCTATCTGGGCCGTCTTGGAGGGGCTTGTCGAAGTCCCCCGGAGGCCCCTGGGAGCGTCTTGGAGCTCTCTGGGGCAGTCTGGGAGCATCTATTCCCTCGTTCTTCCCTCTCTTTTCTCCACCGTCACCATGCCCTAATTCCTTGCGCTTTCTCCACGCCCTTGGATACCATTGCGATGCCGATATGCTGAAGAAGGGCAGCTCCGCCATCATCTTGTCCACCTCAGGTAGAGGGCACAACTGCACGTGCGCTGTCCTACATATTCCCTCGTCCGCATGCCATCCGCAGTAGTTGCACTTTCAAACCATCGGCGCTTATAGCGTGTATACAAATATCAATGCAGGTGACGCCATGAAGCTTCAAGCGCTCAAAAAGACCCCAAATACAACGCTAGGTCGTACGAAACACAATGGGACAATACACACAGCCGTGATTGATGAACTCTATGGTATCGACTTTTGCCATGGCTGAGAGGCATGCGAGGACACATATACTTATACCATGCAGTCGAAGACCAACGAACTGGCTGCGAACTGCTGGAATGCTGCCGAGGCCGCTAAATGACTTTGGACATCTGCGGGGAAATAGGACGCCGCTGAGGTGGTAGCCCAACGATAAGATATGTCTAAAGATTTGTTCGTCCATAGAGACGAAACACACGTCTCTATGGACGAACAAGTCCCGTGAATCTCGTCCCGTGAGTCCCTGGGGCGGAACCCGTGATCTGTCAATCAAGCCACCCTGATGTTTCAGGCAACCGTCAACTCAGTACTAAGACCATCGCGCGCACTCAAATTCCAGCACGGGCGCAGGTACACTCCCCACGCGAATGACGAGTAACGCGAGGAGGAGGATATGGAAGAAGGATATGGACTGAGTGAGACGGAAGGCAGAGGATGAAGTGAGGAGGAGCGGGCCAAAGGCGGTGGAAGTTCCACTGACACCCACCCCCCCGTACCACGGGATTCACAATCGAGACGGTGCCACCAAGCTCCCCATATTCCCTCTTTACCTTCTGCTCCGAGGCGCCCTCCTTCTAGTCGGTCCATTTGCCAGAGGCGAACACAACAAATCCGGATGCGCACAACACAAGGGAGCAATTCAAGCTAGAACGATGGTAGGCAGCTCACAATGACAACGGATATCAAGACACTTTCTTGTCCTTTTCTCGACACGTACCACTCTCTCCCTTCATCTGGTCTCCTCACCGTCCCATTTCTCCACCTCTCCATCCTCTTCTCCTTCTCCTTTTTCTGTGGAGGTGGCGGCCAACGAATGGTCGACATGCTTGGCGCACGCGTACCAGCCTGAATTTTGAAACCCAGGATCGGCGCTTCGACAGTGAACCATGCTATAGAGGCATCAGCCTGGCGCAGATGTACCTGTCTGGTCAACGGCCAAGCCACCAAGGGTGCGTGCGCAAGGCAGGGCAGAACGTATACATCGCCACGGTCTCGTGGCAAAACCATGTGCGCACAATTGTGCGGTCGGTCGCCCCCCCAATGCAGGGCGTAATCCTCGCCGGGGGTGACTGAATTAGACCAGGGAGCTCTACGTCAATTCTCCCCCGAAGGCGCACATCGAGCTCCAACCTTCCAGTGTACTTGACTCGCACCCGCTTGACCAATATCGAACATAAAAGAACCCGACAGCTTTTGAAATCTGTCAACAACTGCGGTAAGGGAGAACAGGGAAGAAGAGGGAGGAGGAACCAAAGAAGGACGAGCAAGAAAGAGCGACGGGACCTACCTGACAGTCAAACGCGGTGACGTTGGCCCGCGGAACATCAAAGGAAAGAACACGTGGCCCAAGAGATTCCGTTCGGATATCAAATATGGTGTAGAACAACTCGCAAAGTCCACGCGCTTCTATATGTGACTATCCGTCGGCATGGCGCAGCGCTAATCAAATAGCAGCAACATAACCCGATATCCGAAAACGTGCACCGTCTGGTCGCAGCACGTGACAAGATCGTACACCTTCATCGACGGAAAGTACCCAGCCAAATTCCGTTCGCTCGCACTTCCACGTCTTGTACCTCTTCTGGCCAGCACAACAAATAACCAAGGCAGTGCCAGACGGCCACGCGACCGTTGATGTGCGGTCCCACGTGACCTGAGACGGACACAGGCGGCGCCAAGCTATCTGCCCATGGTCACAATGGTCGAACTGGTGTTGGTGATGACGAGCTTGTTGTCCTCACCATGAGTAGTCTGGCTTGTCCTTATGTTTACTACACAGAAACATGTTGTTATCATGGATAATGGACTACATAAGTTACCACTACGGATCGCACCATGCTCTATAACATTGTACATAGTAACTCCAACTGAAAAAAGGTCGCAATAAATCGGCGCAGGTGTTCCCGCTCCTTTTGCTGGACTCGCGGTGGGCGGTCGTGAGCCGGCAGAAGCGGCAGGAACTGCGTCGATCTGCCAGTCGTCGCAGACGTCCGCGTGCCCATCGTCGGAGGGACGGCGACGTCAATCAAAGAATTGTCGTCGCACCAATGCCATCGCGTTCGGAACCGTGTGTCTGGGCCGGCACGTCTCGCTTGGGGAACGGCTGCTGAGACCAACCTATCCGCCGCGTATGATTCAGGAGTAAACGGATGCTGTGGGACGGCGACGTCGGCGCGCTGCAGGTCGGCGCCGTGCGCGCCGCGCGCCAAGTAGTGGTGCTCGAAGTTCGGCACGCTGCCGGATGGGCAATGCGAGCAGCTTGGCCTCCGACCAAGTACTCCCAGTCAAGACTGCAAACGGCCGCCCCGATGTGGACAATCAATCGCTCGCATGCACGAGCCTATTTAACTCTCGGATGCGCCGGAACCGTCGCTAACAGCAGAAGATCGGGGACAGCATTAAACCATCACAAGAACTGCATGTGATTCGTGAGATAACGAATGCGTATTTTCTGTTGAGTGGGAGCTACAGGCGACCACCTGAAGTGAAAATCTCAGCAGGCGAGGCGAAACAACATGAGATGGCAGCCTGTGGAGAGCTCCAGGAGGCGAGGGACGAGAAAGGGGCTCATCCTGTGAACCTCAGAAAAACAAATTCCTGGCATATGCGAGAAGACGAAGCCGTAGAGAAAGAGCAACCTCTGCGGAACATAAAAGCCAGTGCGGTCTGTAGCGTAGAGTAACAGGCGGTCTGCTGACACTTCCCACAGGAGCCCCTCGTGACCGACACGCGGCAAGGGCCGCACTTCGGGGGAAGAGCGGCGCAAGTTAGGCCCCGCCCCCCGCCCACGCCATTTGGGCTTGGGCGCATGGTGGGGCGGAACGCGGATGGCTGCGATGAGGAAAGAACAAACGAACATCAATCATTGGCGGCAAGAGTGTTCAATTGAGTCCACGCAGACTTAAATCGGGACATACAATTAATTCGTCGGCCCAATATGCCAAAGCGGGCGGCTCCGAACCGTGTGGCTTGCAATCCGCACCCGGGGGGGCGGCAAAGACCTTGACATAGTTCTCCACCGCACCCCGACGGGCGCGACGTGCTACCCACCGAACCCCGACGACGCATAGCGCAAACCCCACCCCAGCGTAACCGTACCCCGTGCAGTGGCTGACACGGGTGTGCTGCTATGATCGTCCGTGGGAGCTTCAGCATCTCTTCTTCCGGAGCGCGGGCCGGCCCCTGCTGCTTCCAGCGCGCGCGTCGCCCACAGCTCTGCAAGCCGGGCGGGCCCTGCCACCGCCCTCGATGAGAGGAGCAAGAAGACACGCAACCTCTCGGAACCCCCTGCCCTGGCGCGCGAAGCGCGCCGGTGGAGGCGCCAGAGGCGCCGCCGGAGAGCCCGGTGCCGACCCAAGGAGTCCGCGCGGTCGCTCGTGATTCGACCACGGGAGATGCCCGCGCTGCAGCAGCTCCTCGGGCGCCTCGCTCAACGGGCCGCACTGCCCAGGGGGTCTCCGACGCCGCGCGGCGGCTCGGCGCCCGCGCCTCCCCGGGCAGCCGCGGGCGTCCCGCGCAGCCCAGGGCTATCGGCGCTTCACCCAGAGGGCTAATCGATCGGGGCTTGCCCACATGGCTGGGCGAAGGGGTCACGCTCCAGACCCGCCAGACTCAGGCGAGAAATAGTGGCTGCGGACTCTTCGCGGCGCTCTTGAAGGTTTCCTGGCCGCCTGCAGCCGTCTCTGGGCCGTCTCGGAGGCTCTTGGACACATGCTGGAGGGAGCGTCGTGGGGGTTTCTTTTGGGGCCGTTTTTTGGCCGCCTTTGGGGGTTTCTTGGAACCGTTTCCGAGCCGTCTTGCAACCCTCTTGGGCCGTCTTGGCGCCCTCGGGCCGTCTGGGCCATCTTGCGCGTCTCTCCGCGTCGTCTTGGGGCCTTCTCGGGCCATCTTGAGCCTCTCCAGGGAACCTCTTGGGGCATCTTGCGGCCTTCCTGGACCCCAGCTTTCTTGCGGCCTGTTCGAGCCATCTTGAGGTGATATTGGGTGCCTCTTTAGCCGTCTCGGACGCTCTGAAGACTAATGACGCGAGCTTGCTAGAACCGCTCAAGACCCTAAAGTCAACCAATGATTTTCACCTGTCGGGGGCCTCTTCGGGATACTCCTGGAATGTCCTTGGGGCGTCCTGGGCCGTCTTGGAGCGATTATTCATGTCTAGGATCCACGGCGATCAATCCCCTCAAGAAACTGAGCCAGCTTTCCGGCAAGTTGGTTAAGAAACGCTGGGCCAGCTTTTCGGGTGGAGGTTTCTTAATCATGAGCGGGACCGTAGTGGAGCACCCCCCAGGGCTCGTGCAACGCTGAGCGGTCGGAGGCGTGCATGGTTCTCGAAGGCACAGACCCCTGGTCTCTCAGCCGCTTCTGGGTGCCGCCAGGGCGTGTCGCACGGGCCTCTGGGGCGGTGGCCCCACCCAAAAGGCACTCCAAAAGGGGCGAAGAGGGCCCCGGGAGACCCCAGCAAGGTCCGAGAGGCCTCCGAGATTCCAAGACGCCCAGGATGGTCTCAAGACGGTCATAGAAGCCTTCGAGACGCCCCAAGAGAGACCTAGGAGCCGTCCCAAGAGGGCCCCGAGAGACCGAACACATTGATTGTCCCCAGGTGTTTCAATGTTTCTCCCAACCATCCTGTGGTGTTGGGTCCTCGTTTGGAAGAGACGGTCCCCGCGTTCTCCTCCTTCCTCCTTCCTCCTTCCTCCCTCCTCCTCCTCATCCTCCTCCTCCCCCTCCTCCCATCATCATCATCATCATCATCATCATCATCA